CGTTGTTCCTGCCCGGGCAGCACTGGTGCCAGCAGCCACCCATGGCACCCACCAGGTAGCCGGCGGCCAGCAGCCAGCCCCCGCAGAGCAGCAGGCCCCACATGGTGCCAGGTCCCCACAAACGGCCGAATGACAGCTTTCCCCCCACGCCAGCAAACGCTGGGTGAGCAGTGAGGGCTGGAGCCCCGGCCGCACCGCCCCTGGGCTGGGCGGGGGGACAAAGCCCGTTCCCTTCTGCTCCACCGACCCTTGCTGTCCCGGCTCTTCACTCTGCGGCCGGGGCGAGGAAATTAATAAAATTAACTGGGATGCTTAATAAAACGCTGTGCATGGGACAATGCAACACCGGAGCTGCCTGGGAGCAGCTGTGAAAGGGCACTGCTGGGTTGAAGCTGATGCTCCCCCTGGGAGTGCCAGCTCGGCCTCAGAGGGCAGCAGGACTGGGGCGCAATGGGGGACCCCATCCCCAATCCCCACCCGCACTGCAGGAGCCACTTGCCGCCCGCTCAGCACTGCCTGGACGCCAACACAGCTGCTAAAGCCAGACTGATTTTATTCAAATTGCGAATGTAAAACAGAATAATAAAAAAAAAAACCAAAACCAACCCAACCCTCACTGGCTTCAGAGCAGAAAGCCACAGGTAAACCGCGCCCGGGCTTTCCTTCTCCTCCTTCGCCCTCCCGTGTTAAGGCTGCGTTTGTCACTGGTGACAGGAGGAAGGAGGGACGGGGCGAGCCCCAGTTCCTGCGACCCCTCCAGCTCCTTTGCGGGAAGTTTGGCACAAATCCAGCGGGGCCGAGCCCGGTGCGGGGCAGGGCAGGACTCTGGCCCCATGGCCACGGGTGTTAGTGGGTCAGCGTGAAGCTCCGAAAGCTACGGGATTACCTACAGGGCCACAGCGAGGTAAGGGCAGATGGGGGGAATGTGGCAGAAGAAGGGGTTTGCACCCCTGGCCAAGGGGCCAAGTCTGTGGCACAGTGCTGCGCCTCCCCGGCCCAGCTTGCACACGCATCTCGACTGTAAACGGCAAGTGATGGGGGCACCTGGCTCACCCCAATCCCGGCCCCGTGGTGAGGAGAACTAAAGGCCTGGCTGTATGTGCAATTTTGGGCAGTGCTTGCTCAGCAGCCCGGGGCTGAGTGGGACCTGGGGGCCAGGATGGTGCACCCCGGGGCGGTCTCGGTGCTGGCAGGGAGGAGGGAGGAGGGAGCCTGGGGCTACGCCCGTGGGTCACTGACCTCCCATCCCAGGGGGTGCAGGGCTGGGGACACCCCCAGAGCCGCTGTGAGACCCGTTGCATCACTCCCAGCCTCCACCAGCTGCGATGCCTGGTGCACAGCTTGGCCATTGCACCCACATGGCTCCAGGGGGCTCTCAGCACCCCCAAAAAGTGCTGGCCCCGGGCAACCGGCAGCTCCTGGCTGCTGGAGGCCCTGGGGACGCAGGGCCACCGTCCCGGGGGACACCTCACCCTGGATAACCTTGCAGGTGATGCAGGTCCAGGGGGAAGCGTCACCAGGGGATCAGAGTGGGCATAACCGGAATGCTGGGGGTGTGGATGCTGGGATGCTGCTCCCTCCCTGCTCCTTTCAGCACATAACTGATAATTTAACCTGCTCCAGAGCCTGTTCCTAAACATAAAGGTGGCCGGGTTTGGGGGGAGGGTGTGCGCGTGGGGCAGACTTGGCCCCGGGCAGTGCCGGCGGGCAGCTGCGGGCTTGGTCACG